ATAGACAAGTATGTGTGTATAATGTATCAGTAGATGCCACATATTCATATATGACAGTTATCATTATCATTATTATTGTTTGTCCTTCATTTTAGAGGAGGACCAATGACCTCACAGATGATGTCTTGATTTGTGAGTGAATTGGATTTCAGTGAGGCAGAGTTGCACAAAGTCATTAGCCTCCCTCTCCTTATGACAGTATGGTATAATAAATAGTCCTTTGGCCTCAGAATTCAGAAGAAATAGGCTCAGGCACACACCAACTGTGTGATCCCAGGCAAGGCACTGGACCTCTCAGTGTTCCAGACAACTAGCAGACCAGGTTGCAGAAGAGGACCTGACCTGCAATTTCAGATGGTGTTTTCTCACCTAGAGTTCCTTACAGCAGTAAAACCATAAGTATGGTCTATTTGTTTATCAGTCTGTCAATCTGGCTGTCTGTCTCCAAAAGTTCTTTTATTGGATGAATCTCTTAAGTCAAAATAGTTGATACAGTGGCCCCATAGGTAGATGTGTAGATAAAGTCAATATCAACAATGTTGGGATACAGAGAAAGAAAGAAAGATGATCAAAGAGCCCTATAATATTGCCCATATTTTTAAGGTTCAGAAGGTCAAGTATGGGATTTGTTGAAAGGGTGGGATATTAACCTGGGAGAAAAACAACTGGAATTCATATTAAATATGTTCATATGTGTACAGTTTACATAAGTATATGTGTGCACAAACCCATGTTACAATGTATTACAATACATGTATGTGCATGTACACATACACTTACGTACACATGTTACACGCACATATATGTATACACACATGATCATACTCATATCTTTGTATGAAGGACAGCTAGGTGGCACAATGGATAGAGTGCTGGGCCTGGAGTCAGGAAGACTACTCTTTGTGACCCCATTTGGGATTTTCTTGGCAAGTGGTTTGCCATTTCCTTTTTCTGGTCATTTTATAGATGAGTAATGTGAGACAAACAGGGTTAAGTGACTTGCCCAGGGTCACAGAGCTAGTAAGTAGCTAAAGCTGGATTTGAACTCATGAAGAGAAGTCTTCCTGATTCCCGGTCGAGTGCCTTAACCACTGTACAAGCTTGTGGCCTCATGTGTTGGGGATTTTAAGACAAAAATCAAGTATCCCTTGGCCTCAAGAATGTCATACTGGGGAAACTGGGGTGTCATGTAGGAGGTGGAAGGAAGGTGAAGGTATTAAATGTAGTAAAGGTGCTGGGAGTGGAGGTGCTCTCCTGTGGGCCATACCACAGGGAAGGTCAAGGTAGGCATACAAATATGAGTATAGGAAATCTGAACTACAGGAGGGCTAAAGCTGATCTAGTGTCCACACTAGGTCTGCCAATAACATGGTAAGTTTCTACATTGATCTTGTATTGAGATTGGGCCCATTGAGAGTGGCTGCTACACTTCCAATTTGGGTAGAAGTCGATC